TTATTAAAGTAAGTCTTCTTAGAATCTAATATAGATTCTCGCTTAATACTGTCAATGTCTATTTAAGCATTCATAGATAAACAAATCAATGAGACTGATATTTATTATTCTCAACTTTCTATGCATTCTGCATTACATTCATTTAGATCATATCCTTCTTTGTAAAAGAATAAATGGGAATAAAAAGGGAAATTAACCTATGTGCGTTAGTCGAAAGTAATGGAAAGTAAGGACGCCAACTCTTGCCCCAAAAGGATAAAGTCGTGTCGTGCAACCATGAAATCCAAGCGGAATAGGAGAAACGACTAGGAGTTAATAAAGAGAACTTGAGGAGGAGGAATCCCTCAAACACCGAGGCAAGTGAATAGAGTTTTCTCGAAAAGTGATTTCAACAAGAGAGAAACATTATTTGTTAAGAAGTTGCTAGAATGAAAACCCACAAAGGGCGTTCTAGGAAGAAAAAAAGCAATGTTTGTTCTAGGTGAAAATCGAGAGACAGCTTGAATGTTCCTCTTGAGAAGCAAGACTCCATGGAAAGCTCTATCATCGTTTCTACCCATTCCTACTTCTTAGGAAAGTCTGAGGATATGGGTTGGCAACACCTTCATGAGAAAAAAGCCAAAGGACTTCCCTCTACACGAGATCTTCTAAAGTGCCCTCCCGCTACACGAGATCTTTTGAAGCACCACATCCATGCAAGTGGAGAACTAACTCTACGGTTAGATGACTTAGGCCTCTCTAAGGGGCAACCTCCTTCTTTTTCTTTGTGTACGAATCACGAACTTGTGGCATGCCCAGGCCCTCAAGCTACATTAAATGGGCACGTGTAGATTAAAAATAGATTTTATTTTAATGCCATACATCTTTCTACTTCGTTTCTCTTCTTCCTCTTATCTACTCTAAGTCTCGTCAACAAATCTTAAATGAACAAGTACATTTGAAATAAGGACGTCATTAGAAACAATGGCTTAACGCAATAAAAAAACACGTAAAGATCAAGCAAATTGGGCATGACTTGTGGATAAAAGTCCAAATGAAATCAGTGCAAGGGGCATCCCCCTTCAATGAAGGAATGAAAAATGATCACAAATGCTGCAAAGACAAAAGCTTGGCAGGAAACCCACTAAGGGGGCTGCGCAAAAATTAAGGCAAGGTCTACTAGAAAATCCACAAACAAAAAGGGTAGCCTAGGCAAAAGTGAGGATCAAAGAAAAAAAAATGTCTGCTAGGGAACACATCTCAAATAACCTAGGCAAAAGTTAGGACCAAAGTAGCATCTCGAGCTAAAAACCGAAAGGCGGCTCGATAAGAACATTTAATCAATATGCAATCACAAGTCCTCGTTTAACTTTGAAGCAAATAATAAGCTAATGCGAAAAATGATTTCCTCACTTTGAATGTGCTTGTTCATCAGCCTAAACCACTAGCCTACCTCGACCAGCCATTCTTCTAAAATCATTTGTCAAAAAAAATCCTTTCTAACAAAACTTCTGCAAAAAGTATATGTATATATCCTCTTCCTCTCTTTCCTCTTGACCTATATGGCATTAAGATAAATTTGAGAGATACACGGAGTATGCACAGTGAACACTCACAAGGAGAAGATGGAGGTGTCCTAGAACAGAGTCTAGGTACACCTAATCTAAGAGCTAACATATCATATTCGGTACAAGCAAGAGGGCCGAACTACACAAACCTCAGGTTCAAGAAGCAACACTGAATTCGACAGGGCTAAAGGCTAACAGTCCATGTCATTGATCAATGCGCATAGATTAATTTCTTGAAAGTAAAAATAAATTTGCATTTTAAGCATTAGCATAGAAGCATCACTGCATAACATGCATATGGCACAAGCGTGCACAAAAGGGTATAAGTTCATTAAAAAAAAAATTGATAAAAATTCAATCCACTTCTGCTTTGCATTTTCTTTTGCATTCTTGCATTCTTTGTGTGTGTTTATCCATCACTTGCTGGAGGGATCAAGAGGCCGAAGCACTCGTAAAAAAAGATCGACAACTATACAGTGCCTTAAGATCTGAGATAATGTCAAAAAGCATAGCCCCAACAAGGGCATCAACAGCAAGAAGGGATAGAACAGGAGTCGACCGGATAAGCAAGCCCATAAGCATGAAGAGGCCATCGCGCCCTACTCCTCAACCGAATGAAGGATGATCTAAGAGAATGCCAAGACCAGGAATGACTTCCTAACCAAAGCCAGGAGTGGCTTCCAAAATAACACTCATCAATAAAGATTCAACAAATAACATCATCATGTGATCCCTCCACCAATGATGACAACAAAAGATAAAAAAACAGAAAAGGCAAGCTTCATACATGTTGAAAAAGCTGAAGCATTTAGAAAAATAGCAGAAAAAGGCAAGCTTCAAACATGAAAGAGCCAAAGCTAAACAAAAATGAACTTCAGAAAAATCTATCACAAGCAGCGCCTGGAGAGGCATCACAATACTCACGTGGTAGGGGCAACATTGGAATCCCTGCCAGCCATCCACTTCTTTGCCCACCAACACAGGGGCACAACAAACATCTCCTGCCCATCCACTTAGGGGCAGTCTTTCATTCCACAACAATCAATCATCAATGAATCAAAAGGACTCAACATTACGCCTGGAGAGGCATCACAATACTCACATGGCAAGGGCAACACTAGAATCTCTGTCACTCATCATTTACTCATTTGCCCACCATCACAAGGGCACCACCTACTAGCAATCCTCGTCTTCATTAGACGTCCTCCCAAAGAAAAGGGGAATCACATCATCATCATCAAAAGGCAGCCTGGAGAGGCCAGGCATAGTAATACTCATCATTTACTCATTTGCCCACCATCACAAGGGCACCACCTACTAGCAATCCTCGTCTTCATCAGACGTCCTCCCATGGAAAAAGGACAATCGCATCATCAACATCAGCAGGCAGCCTGGAGAGGCTAGGTATAATAATACTCAACATTCAGCAGGCAGCCTGGAGAGGCTAGGCATAATAATACTCAGCATTCATTCAGCAGGCGGCCTGGAGAGGCTAGGCATAATAACACTCAGCAGGCGGCATAATAACACTCAGCAGGCGGCCTGGAGAGGCTAAGCATAATAATACTCAGCATTCAGCAGGCGGCCTGGAGAGGCAGGCATAATAATACTCAGCATCAGTAGGTGGCCTAGAGAGGCCAGGCATAATAACACTCAACATTAGCAGGCAGCTTGGAGAGGCTAGGCATAATAATACTCACCGTTTAGCAGGCAGCCTGGAGAGGCTAGGCATAATAATACTCATCGTTCAGCTTGCAACCTGGAGAGGCCAGCCATAATATACTCCCTCTTCAACAAGCAACAAATAAAGGCACACATTATCACAAGAGAAACAATGGAGCTTCTACTCGAAGACTAAAGATCAGGTGTACAGTTTATCAACCTTGTTACCCCATAGAGTACGCAATCAGTGCTCAACTGCTCTAAAGGGTGAGAATACGAGCAAATACACCTGTCCAAGGGAAACAACGCAGAAGCACCAACACAGAGACGGGAAGAAGACCTGGACGAAATGTCTACGTCTTTACCTGCCTTTGGAAAAGCAACACAGCTATTCCAAAGGACAAGTAAAGAGGGGCAGCTGTAGACACCCAATTTCGTCTGGGGGGCATACAAATAACAAGATAGAACATCAGAGGGCCCAAAGGCCCAAACCAATTTTTTAGTGGCCCGGAACGGGCCGTTCCAAAATCAGAATGGGCCATTCCAAGTCCGGAACAGGCTGTTCTCAATCAGAACGGGCCGTTCTGGACTTCTAAAAAGCCTAAAAAAATATAGGTTGGAACGGGCCGTTCTAGACCAAAACAGGCCGCTCCGAACCAATCAAAGTGGTTAAATTTTTACCTCGGAACGGGCTGTTCTCACTCCAGAACGGGTCGTTCTGGTTCCCTGGAACTGGCCGTTCTGATTTCAGAACGGACCGTTCTAGGGTACAAAAATGCAACACAACGTTCGGATTCGGAACGGGCCGTTCCAAATCCAGAACGGGCCGTTCCGGCCCACATCTGATGCCTATAAATTGGAATCTCGGCCACAATTCTGGGGACCCCAAAAATTTCGTCCAAAGCTCCTTAGAGCTCGAAATTTTTCTCTTTTTCTCTCTCTTTCTCTCTCTTGTATTTTTGGAGATTTTGTGAGGCATTGTAGTGTGAAAGGTTGCCACAAAGCACTTATATTTTTCATATTTGAAGATCTAATAAAGCTTGCTATGAGGTATTTCATTTAATCTTCTTAGATATTTAGGGTTAGTCGTATAATTTAATTTTTCAATATGTAAATAAATATTAATAAAGGAGATTTAATATTTAATTTATTAATTCTTATCACGTTAATTTCATCATAGGGTACCGATTGAGGGCGCTGTAAGGGTTCTTAATACCTTCCCTACGCGTAACCGACTCCCGAACCCAATTTTGGTTATCAAGGCCATTATTGGATTTTTAAAAATCTTTTCTTTTTCCAATGTTTTGAGTAAAATATTGGTGGCGACTCCATGAACTCATTTTTCAAAAACCATTAATTAAGGATTAGTCTGGTGTCCGGACATTCTTTAATTAATGAGACTTTTAAAAAGATGTCTAAACCATACGTCGCGAGATCGGAAATTTTCAGGTTGCAACAACTTTGATTTCATGCATATCTAGATTTTCAAGCGTCTGTTTTATTTTCAGCACTTGTTGCCTATATGGAGTTATTATGCCAATGATTCACATTTTGAGTCACGCAAATCAATACAACTCACTCACCCTGTAAAACAAACAAGAGAGCAAATTGCAGCATGGACAGAATCATATCCTGAATTGCTGAACTTATCCTCGATGGATTAGAAACTGCAATTTAAGTGTTGCATTTTCTACGAACATCATGAAGTTCGTGCAGTCAGGTCAAATATGACCCAACATGACCAGAAGGGGATAAATATCTTCGTGCAGTCCAGTCAGGCCAAATATGACCCAAATCTAGCCTTCTAAATAAATAAATAAATAATTCCAACAAGAAAAGGATACCCTTCTGTTAAGTTTTTCTTGAATCTTAAGCAATAAAACAATATCAAATCTATTACACAAAGTACCCATCTTTTTTTATATTCTACAATTCTATAATAATCATGTTTGCTAATGTAGAGAGGAAATGTTAATTGACACATAACAAATGTTGCCAACATAAATGTATCACCACAGATGATATGGCATTCTATGATTCATTGGTTAAGATAACACAATCAAAAAGGCATGCACTTTTATTATCTACAAGAGCAGACTCTAGATCACATGAAAAGAAAATATAAAAAAATGTTAATAATTATGGTATCCATCTGATAGTATATAATGACCAGCTGATGCAACAATTTCTAGCTAAAAATTTTATTTATCCAAGTGAATGTGACCCGCAGCCAAATAAGGACCAAACCTGATAAACGGATGTGGTATTATTATCATGTCCAGATGAGAGTTTCAAAGATAAAATCCCATGAACCAGTGAGGGCCTTCTCTCAGCAAGCCCAGGAACCTCCATAGTCAAGAAATTACTGGTTCTCTTTCTCATAGATATGCATTCCATCCTCATGTCTTCCTGAAGTATAAGTCAGTATCAAGGAATTAATAACAGAGTAGAAAATTATTAGTATGAATTTTAAAGTAATTATCATAAAATATCAACAAACTTACCATATATTATATAATTTGTGATTGAATAACAGAGTAGAAAACCTTTACACAATCATTGCGTTATAATTAAATTCAAAATTAAAATAGGGAGTAATACTAAATATACATTATATTATCCGTATCAAAGCATATTTAAGTCCAATGAGACTGTTTGAGAAAACGCTTATGATTACTTTAGAGAAAGGCTAGTATAACATTAGCTAATGAGTGCTGATAAGCGATAATAATCAATATATTAAATTTGTTAATCAAGGATTCTATCATTTAACCAAATCACAGAAAAGGCAATTATGATGGTATAGAAAATACTTACAGAAAACATGCGTCCATCTCGGGTTAGAGCAACTGAATGAGTACCTCCACATGACACCTGACCCAAACCAATTATCTTCATCTCATAATTTCTTTTATAACTCTAAATAACAATTATTTTCAAAAATTCCTTTGTTTTTCCATTCCCCCCTCCCCTACTCAAATAGAAGATGTCATGATTGGCAAGACACATGAAGCACACAATATGGATGTCAAAGTATAATCAAATGTGACCAGCAGAATTCACAAATTCAAATTAAAATAGACAGAAATGTGTTATCTTTTTATTTATATTATCTTTTTATAGTCCAATTGATTGATGATTTTCCAGTAAGATGGTACATGCTTAGCTACTACAAAAAGCATAGGTGCACTTTAATTAACTCTAGCAAGTGTCAAGCCCCTCTTGTCAATGGGGTCTCGTGGATGGAACCACAGTCAAGATATAACCCGATTGAAGGTGCGGCGTTCTAATTAACAACCAAAATGAAAAGGAAAAAATTAATATACTAGCCACACCTCAAAAGCACCATTAAAGCTTACAGTAACATCATCATTGAACATATCAAGACACCAAAAAAGTTACAAACATGCACATACAGTTAAGCCTTACAGTAAAATAGTCATTAAAACTATGAACACACCAAAAAAATTAACAATGCACATACAGTTAACTACCACAGTAACATTGTCATCGAACATACCTAGATGCCAAAACACTAGAAACATGCACATAAAATTAAATCTTAAAGTAACATTGTCATGGAACACATCATGAGTCCAAATAACTAGAAATTCCAAGCATAGAGTATCATTTTCAAGATGCCAAAAAACAAGAAACATGCACATACAGACAACATCTCTGATGCTATTTTGAGTCCATTGGGGAGTGTAGTGATCTTGGTCTTGCTTGTTTCAACATGATCTGGAATACCTAGTGGATCTCAACTTCCCTCCATAGCCCTAATCACATGGTTTCATTAGACAAAAATCACAAACAGCAGCAGTAGCATTCACCACAAAAAGAATATTCCATTACACCAACGCCACCCCAACTTTTTCATGGGAATAACAAATTGTCAATTGTAACATGAAAAACAACCTAGGAATTTGCAAAACCTATTGCGTGGGATTTAATTTCGTATAATGAATCCGGGGGGTTCCAATATCTAACCCACCAACCTAATTCCCCAGAAAATCAAATAGATTAATCCCAATAGATTCCAGGAAAAAAGGGGTACCTCTCCTTCATCTATCAATGCAGTAGAATGCCATCCACCAGCAGCAATATCCACCTAGAGTTCCAAACAGATTAATAAAAGAACTTAGGAGATCAAGATACTCAATGATCTACTATAATATCATCATGCATATTACATCACATACCCGGATTGAGGTCAATTTTTCTATGGTAACAGAGTTTCCCAACATCCAGCATCTCCGAAATCGCGTTCCCAGAATCCGACGCTCTCTCAAACAAAATCTGAATCTCTTTCACTGCCTCAGAGAATCCTTTCGTAGAGTCACTACATTGCGCTTTCACCACTTCCTCTTTTTCCGATATATATATATAGTAACTTATGCATTGAGATAATTGAGAATTATCTTCCATAGGATGGGTCTATGCGTGAAACAAAATGACAACATCAATTAAGGATAATAGAGGAAGGCAAAGAGATTGCAATAACTACAACCTTGTTTGATCAAACTATTTAATTAACAAATAATTTGAGATCTATTGTTTGAAAAAAGTCCAATCTTAAAAGTTGAGATCTCTAAGAAAATTTTCAAAATGAGATTCCTTAAAAAAAAAAAAAGAATTGTAACACCTAATCACCTAACAGGTTGCCACACTTGGCACAACATACAACAGAAACCATGTAGCGGAAAACGTAAAGATCATCTAACCTAATATTCTCATACAAACATTACCTGAATATTTATGAAACAAATATATGTATAAGATGCATAAAACATAAAATGCTTTGTGACTATTTTAACTTTAAAACATAAATCCCTTTATGGGATTATATTAACCCCTATAACTATATACAAATGTCTACAAAAGGTATTCAAGAGTGGATACATAAAAACATAGGTGTCGGTCAAGCACTCTATAGAATGTTGTATCATAATAGCCCAACAAAATGTCATCTCTAACATGGTCATCCAACTTTGTGCTCACCCCCTCCAACCTAAATGAAGTCTGGCACATGGAAAAATAAGAGTGAGTTTGTGAAAGAAACAACATATAAAAGAAAAGTTGTAAAGTTAGCTTAACAACAAAGAATAACTTCAACTAAGACATCATCACGATACCACGTCATCTCTAGTATTTCAACACAACAAGCACAATTCAACTCCCAACTCAACATCAAAATGGCAACACAAAAACTTGGGGTCAACACCAGCTTATATGCACAACTCAACATTAATCATCATCAACCGTCTTTATTCAACTTATATAAACAACTTACAACATTAAAGCATCGTTAATCAATACACAACATCTTTAAAATTTATAACTTAACAAGAAAACATCTTAGAATGTAACCAACATGCATCTTAAATCAACTTACAACATCATATACAACATAAGATAGCATTGTAGACACCTAATTTCGTCCGGACCTGTAAACAAAGAAATGGACTTCTATTATGAAGGAAAGAAGCTCCCGAAGCATGGAAACAACATGATGTGACGTTAGAGGACCTAAAAGCCCTACAAGTTTGATTTACTAGCTCGGAACGGGCCATTCCAAAATCAGAATGGGTCGTTCAAAAGCTGGAACAGGCGATTCCTAATCTGGAACGGGTCATTCCTAATTACTAAAAAAGCCTGAAAACCCTGGCTGAGAACTAGTCAAAACAGGCCGTTCCAGTATAGGTTGTTATGAGCCAAGTTCAAGTTTGAAACAGGCCGTTCTAGCATCAAAACGGGTCATTTCAGATTCAAACTGAACACATAACAAACTGACCCAGAATGGGCCGTTCCGTAACTGGAACGGGCCGTTCTGGTCAGTTCTGACGTCTATAAATGTTGTCTAATATTAAATTTTTAATTATTAAATATTAAAAATTAACTAATATTTATTATTATAAAATTTAATCTTAAAATGTCAATATACATATAATCAATTTTTTCTTTGATGAAAATAAAATTGTCAAATCCAAATTAAAAATTAAAAATTTAATAAAATAAATTAATTTATTCAAATAAAATATTTAACAATAAATATAACTCTAATTTTAATAATTTCAAATTCCTTAAATTTTTAAAATAACTCATCATCCAAACATACTTAAGCTCACTCTTAAGAAATGAAAAATTATTCTCAAACTATTGCGCGTGTAGTAAATGAAATAGATTTATTGTTAAACTTCAATCAAATCTCTTTCATGCTTCTTTATCTACTCAAGCCATAGCAAATGAAAGAAGAAAATGAAGAATTGAGGTGAAATATAATTTTGAGAGTGATGGTTAACCTTTAGATATTTGGAAAATTGATGCCTTTTATGTTACCTTTTTGCTAAGAAAGCCAGCCAGGTTTAAAGTGCGAAAATCCAATTTATCATTATATTTTATAATATCGTTATATATGGTCTAGCCCCACTATGTGAGAGTGACAAACGAGATTACAGAACATCGATCTTAGGGGAAAAAAAAATAAAAAACATAGTGTTCTTATCGGAGATCGGTCGTAGGGACGATCTACTGGGCAAGATTGGTGAGCCTCCTTCGTTGGGTACGATTGCTGTTCCAAGTGGGGGTGGTACCTGCAAAAGAGACTCTGATGCTAGAGTTAGTGTTTGTGGATGTATATGTCTCGTATAAGTAATACACGTACCTTTGTGTGAATTAGGATTTTGTTGGGCCTTGGGCCTGAGATCAGTAATGACCTATTTAGGCAACCGACCTCATCTGGGCCGAGGTCGCCTAGCGCATGTCCGTGGTCAATTTGTGTTGTGATACTGAGCTGGAGTTCAGCTTCGTGGTACGGATAGTACACTAGCGCCCCGAGGGTCTTCAGAGTTAAGACCGAGCTCGATGAGGGGTTGTGACTCTTCGCGTACGTCTCACTATCATGACGCCATGTGTCATAACGGTCACCTCATTTCCAGAACACGTGGGCGGCGTGTTAATGGTGGGTGACGGTTATGTAATGATAGGCGTGCTTTGCCATGATGGGCCTCATTTAATGTGTCGTCAGTTGTGTTTTTCTCTTTCCACGTGTCGCTTGTTTTCAAATTTTTGAGACTCTTTCTCTCTCTCTCTCTCTCGCACCCTTCCCTCTTCACTTTACTCTTTTTCTTTGGCTTGTTCTTGAAGCCTCTTCACTTTCCTCTATCCGCTCTTCGTCCTCATTTCTCTTGTCTCCGTTCTTCTCCTTCGCCATTTCCGGCAACCATGTCCCTATCCTTCGTTAGTGTTCTTCCGTTTGTCAAAGGAGTACCAGGTACTTCGACCTTTCTATCTTCTTCTCCTTCTCGAATCTTTTCATCTTCTTGATGGCTGGTAGCAGTGGTGCAACTCCTTCCGCGCCGACCAAGGGTAAAGGCAAGGCGCGCGACAAGGCGGTTGCCGTCGAGACGGCCGCCGCTGAAAAGAAAAAGGGTGGGAACCACCCTAAGGAACCTTTCCCTGTCATCTCTGGCTACGAGTGGGTCAGGGGTGATGTCAGAGAGTTCCAGAGCATCTTCACGTCGTTCCTGGAGATCAATGTGATGTGGAGATCACACAGGATCTGTCAATCGTCCATCTCTAAGCTCGTCCAGCTCGAACCCTGTCAGCCAGGGGAGCGTGTATATATGGGGGGTACCTCTAATCCCCCCTTTTCTATATGTACCAGTGCTTTTTTAGGGATTTAGGTGTGTGCCTTCCCTTTTCCCAATTTGAATGCGATTTTTTAAATTTTGTTAACTCGGCTCCTTGCTAGTTGCACCCCAATAGTTGGGGTTTTTTGAGGGCTTTTCAAGTCCTGTGGTCGACCCTCGGGATAGGGTTGTCTCTGCCTGTTTTCCTTTATTTTTACCAACTTAAATTGGGTGAGCCTCCCTTGGTTGGGTGTCCTTAAACGGGAGTAAGGCTGGGGGGTTGTTTTCTCTTTACAACCAGTCTTACAAGAGCTTCAAGAAGGAATTCTTCCGGGTTTTGCCGAAGGAGGTTGACCCGTTGAAGGATGAAGAGTTTCACTTCGGCGGTTTGCCGAGGTTTCCTCTTTATTGGCAGTAGAATCCGGTCAAATTCAACGGGTCGGCCGATCTCTAGCTGTCGGAGTCGGATACTGCTGCCATCGCTGATCACATTTTCTATTGTCTACATGCCATGTAAGGTTCATTGCATCAGTTGCATTAGCAAACAATCGCTTGAACCTTGGAATAATTGGAAGATACCATAACACCTTCGCTGGAGGCCCCTTGTCAACTACATCTTCATCACTACTACGACCATCATCCTTCACTTTGTACCGTGACAACCCACAACGAGGACATTTGTGCAATGATTCAAACTCTTTTCTATACAATATGCAATCATTAGGGCATACATGTATTTTCTTATACTGTAGACCCATCGGACACAACTTTTTTCGCCTCATAATGACGATCTAGCAACGTGTTGTCTTTTGAGCATTAACTTTAACAACTCAACCAACTCTGTAAAACTTTTATCACTCCACCCATATTTTGCCTTCAAGTTCATTAATCTCAACACTGCTAATAATCGTGTGAAGGTTGTACAATCAGGAAACAAAGGTGTCTCTGAGTCACTTTTTAAAGTATCATACACATGTGATTGTGCTTGCTGGAAAAACTCTTGTCCCACATCACAAAGCATGTCTTCTATTTGATCTTCCATTTGAACATCACCTTGCTCAGTTTGGGCCACAGTTTGAGTTTCTTTATCTTCACCATGCCATATCCATGTTGTATAGCTCATTAAAAACCCATCACAAATAAGATGGTTTCGTATTTCGTTAATTACATGTCGTCTCCCATTTAAATAATTTACACAAGGACAATAAAATTTTCCATTCAAATCTGCTTGATTTTGTTGAGCAAATTCCAAAAACTGTGAACCCCGTTTTGATACTCATTAGTGATTCTTCTTGCATTTATCCAACTACGATCCATTTTTCTTCTTCTATGAGACAAATTTATTTACACAATTGAGTATTTAGGGCCTCTCTATATAGTACAAGAGCAAACCATACACTAATTCAATGTTATTTGAACCTATTATTTCATTTATCTAAGAAGGTGGAAGATCCAAATGTACGTCATCTTATGTCATCACCTACATAATGAAAATTCATCTCATTTCTTCAACTAGATAAATAAACTACATAAATATAATTGAGTTTAACGTACCTTACTAAGAAGATATGTGAAACTGGATATGTGTTGACTAATGGATGTCAAGAAGAGAAGTATGACCCTTTGCACACTTCCTGCCAAATCAAAAACAAGTTTCAGATTTACAAGGCTAGATATGTGCCTTCTCATTCTAAACTTCTGATAATATATAATTGAACAAAATATATGATAGTTATTGTTTTTAATGATATATTTATATATATTTTTATGATAATTAAATATACAAAATTTTCATAGCTTTTGGAATTAGGATTTTAGAATCATATATATAAGTTGCCAGCTAAGAATTTTGAAAGATTATCACTCTCAACACATATCATGTTTCACATGTACATTGTATTTTAGTTCCTCCCACTAGTAGTCTCTAAGTTTTGGGTATAGCTATAGCTTGTTGTATTCAATTCAAACTTTTATTAAAATGAAAAAAAAAATAATAATAATTTTTTTATATTTTTTAAATTCATTTTTTTATTTCAACCGACAATTCATTTTTTTAAATGCATGGGTTTTTTGAGTTTTTATGTTTATGTAATAATTTTTCTTAATGTACCTCAATAGTCATGAGTGATAATTGATGTGTGACTATTCTTGAAACAAACTAATACTCTAATGTTTGGAAATGATTTGAGAATGCAATTTTTCATGTTGATCATTAAAAAAAAAACAAGTTATTTTGAAATAAAACAAAACAGACTCAATTTTTGTTATTTTGAATAATGCTGACTTTTGGCTGGAAAATGGCCATCCTAGGCTGGATAAACCATGACCAGCTGAAAAAGTGACAGAAAACATGTGGGTTGAATATTGAGGGATGTGGGAAACCAGGTTTCATATAAGCTAAGTAGTTTCCTGTTCTAATCCTCAAATGGTTCAAGAGAAGATATGTCAACTTGTCAAGTCATAAATCAACTCTAAAAATAGCTAACCGATAAAAGAAAAAAGGAGGGGCCAGAATCCAATTGTCACATACCACTACCCTCAACAATTTGGCAGCAAATTTGACTGCTATCCACACACCACTATGAGTTCCCTGTAGCAGCCAACAAGCACAACATTCATTATCAATCTGAATTTTGAATTCCCGATGGCAAATGCTTCATGTCAGATTTAATACTTTCTAAATTCATTGCAGCCTAGTTAGATTTCCATACATAGAGAAATTTCACAGTTATCCTTCTCACAATATCATACTGAAAATGGTTAAATCCTTACAAGAAATTGAAGTCTATATTTTCTTCTACCATCTCAAAATTCATTCCATCTTTATCAAAAACAAATCAAACCACTTAGGAAATCAAAGACAAGGTGAACAAAACAGGTATTTTAAATACTTGAATGCAGAACCTATGCTAAACTCATTTTTTCATCTCTAGTGTTCTTGATCAAATTAAAACCCGTATGATAAGAGGAAAAAAAATAAGCCATGACTTGATTTTCCAAAACCATATTAAAGCAAAAGAAGTAATCCATCTGCGCTGATTGAATGAAGCTTACCTTTCAAAGTTTTAGTAACTATGATTGTATATATTCTGATCTGCACTGAGATTCTTCAACTTGCATCAGCTATAAATCAATTATACCCTCATATTAGAAGTAGAGTAAACTTTCATGGTTCTAGGAAAATAGGAATCATATTCATTTTGTGAATTACACTTTGACAATACGGGACTACTATTTGTAATTCAGTAGCTGTCTTCTCTTTGTCTTTATTTTTTTCTTCTATTTTATTTCTTTTATTTTCCAAAACATAGTGTTATAAACTGGTTGAGATTTTTCATGAGGCAGACCCTTGCACTCAAATTGTCATTCACTTTTTTGAAGGTTCCGTCAGTTACTGTTTCTTTTATACTTTGTTTAATTAGGTTGAGGTTATATATTTAGGAAAGATTGAAATAAAGAAGACTCAAATATGGAATCGAGTTTGCAGATTAATGTCCAGAGAAATGTATAAGCAATTCTAGAAATGCCCAGAGATTAATTAGAAGGGAAGGCATTTTGATGATTAAACAGTGTATGCCAGGCAAACTCATTTTCCTAACTCATAGTGTTATTTAAGACAATGCTAATAATTTAACATTTGTGAAATAGGCAAAATAACCTTGTTGCCTCATTTTCCAAAAATCAATCATATGCCCAAGTCACCAGGAACATTCCAGCATTTATAATTGATTAGTACATTATAAAATTGCAAGGTCAAGGTTCTAAATTTACCTTTTCAATAGTGGAATGAATTTGTTGTAAAGGAGTTCCAAGCTAGTTCTGATTTCCAAACAGGTTGGTTACACCACTTGAATTCTAGTCTCAATGATTGATAAGTTTTGCAGCAATAAAAAGTGAAAAGAGTGAAAAAAAATGAAGCAGTTTTGCAGCAATAAGACAAATACCAACAATGTTCAGAGTTTTAACAAAAAATGATATGATTACATGAATTGACACATGAAAAAATTAAAAATTAAAAACACTCAACTAATCTCTTTTAAATGCCTCCTAGATACTATGAACAAAATAACGATTGTAAAATATATGAAATGCATAGATTAACACTCAACTAATCTCTTTTAAATGCCTCCTAGATACTATGAACAAAATAACGATTGTAAAATATCTGAACATACATATGATCAAACAAGATTTTAAAACCATTACTCATTTACACTAGATACTTTCATTTCTGTTTTGTTCTAATCATTTTTGTTTCTCAGATTGGAAAGAGAACTATAACAGCCAAAACTTGTTATTGGGAACTTCATGCAACAACCAAAACATGAACCACAACCAACAACAACAACAGCCAAAGCTTAAAAACTTCCTAGTGTTGATGGAGAGAGTTCTTCAGATAATAAACAACCACTAACCACAGTTGCACTTGATACCACACAAACTGGAGCCATTGAAACTGCACCCAGAAAATCCATTGACACGTTTGGACAAAGAACTTCTATATATATACCGTGGTGTAACAAGCTATTTTATTTTAAACCTATGAAAAGATATGCATGAATATTTAATATTTGTTATGTATGAATATGAGCCATCACAAATCTTTCATTACTGCTTCACATCTCAGTTTTTAAAGTTCCTTTAGTAAGTTTTGTTGTTGTAACTAGTTTTTTTTTTAAAATTTATTATATTGATTTTTTTTAAAAAAATTGTGAGAATGATGATGAAATTAGTTTTTTTTTTCTAATTGAAGGCATAGGTGGACAAGGAGGTATAAGGCTCACCTGAGGGATAATAGTTGTAGAAGAGAGGGAAAAACTCGCAAAGGAAGGCAAGGTATGATAAGCAGTCACTTCGCTTATTTATATTTATATCATACACCGGAATGAAACTGTAGTTACTGTACATAACAATTAGTCTTTATTAAGAAAGAATACGCAAAAAAACCACATGGTTAGACATAATTGAAAATTTGAAATACATAGCAACGTGATTTTCAATGAAGGAACACTGGTAATATAACAGAAAAATTACATGCACAATTTACAGAGGCAACAAGACTTTTAAATCATATATCTTTATCTTTCCCAAACTCAAATTTAACTAGTATACTATACCATACCACAAGGTTTACAATCAATAAATTAACATACGAGAATAGAATAATAAAACTAAATTCTAAGTCCATATAAAAGTTAGTCTGCCTTTATTTCCATGGGGATGAACCAATTTATATACACCTAAATTCTAAGTCCCCTAGCCACGGTCCATGGTAAATAAAATTGTTCATCATTATTCACATTTATACAAATGTTGATATATGTAAACTGATAAGATTGTTTAAAAAACCACAGTTTTTTGGTCAACAACCAACCAACAAAAATGAGAACTGCATAGTGATAATAGACATTCACTAAGGGTGTGTTGGCCCAAAGCACACCACAACCTGGGATCGAAATGGTAAATTTAGAAAAATGATAAGGAGGGGAAAAAATTAAGAGAAGATAATTTCTTTTCAAGAAGAACGTGAATGGCAATGCACATCCATTTTTTAGAGTTCTTCTGAAGTTTCTTAGCATTTTGAAGTGCAATTTTCTATCTTTGGACATGATTGATTGTGTTGTTGGCCTGAACAAGCCTCTCATTAATGCAAATCAAACTAAATATGCCCTGGTGTATCAATAATGAATTATGGTTTTCTAAGTCTTCTCTCCCCCTGTTTTAAGTAAAAGAGGAAGACAAATAGAAAAAAAATAACATAATGTGTTATTAGTTTTTTAAAGGTAAAGATAAGAAAACCAAGTCAAATCATGAGTGAATAGACCAGGCCAGGTCATGAGTGAATAGAAAATCAAAAACGTACATAGCTGTTCCAGCTGAAATACTTGGAATAATTCTACCACTTCTACTAGGAGTGTCCTCGGCCAACTTCTAGAATTTCTTTCTGCAAAATTTGCGCACTGTTTCCAACAATATTAGTAAGGTCACCACACATCAGATCTTTGTCACCACACAATAAATTTAGTAAGGTCCAATAATATTGATGCAAGTTTATCCTTAAATTTAATATCAAATATTTCCTAATTAATGCTTTGATTTGATTTTGTAATAAATTTTGTATCCTTAAATTTTGTATCAAATATTTCCTAATTAATAAATATTATCAAATTTTGGAACCATAAAGGCAACAAGGGAAAAAGGATCACATGGTATTGTCTCAGGGGTCTTTTCAAGGATTAGGAAGTTCAATGGGAGTGCATAACTCAAGTTCTGAGATATAGCCAACAAATTACCAACCTGAGAACCTAATGTTGGTTGATGCAATCTGATAGAGTGAATCCAATGGTGGATATGCTTTAGACATCTTTCATGCTTCTTTAAATAATTGAGATGACAGTGCTATGGATAGATATATCTACCAATACCATATAACAACTAATATTACAATGAGTGACAGTTACCAACGAGTAAACATTAAGCAGACCAAATTGATATCTTTAAATTAGTGTTAGTGGTGAGAAGAGAACTAATATTATACACATGATCAAAACTCATTATATGAACCACATTTTTTTTATGCAGCCAAATTCTAATAGGGTGTGAAATTGGCATACATTAAGCACATGGCCCCTGCTCCATTCCCTTAATAATTGTCAACATGATTCAATTATATCTTTTATTGAAGGAAATATTTTGCCATCACTTCAGAAAGTTAGCTACTATAACATGTTACGTTCATTATTGAGAAAGTCTTCTAAGACAACATGTATGGAAATGCAGTTAAATATCATGTTTCAAATATCAATGTAAGCATTGTAGTTCCGAACTACATAAAATTATCTTAGTCTAAACCTTGCAATTACAAAGCATGAAATTTAGTACACCAAGAATAAAATCTAATATACATTATTTATAAATGCCAATATAGATACCATTCACTGATCTAAAATATTTATCAACCAAAAGATAAAGGTAACAAAAGGGCTAGACCCATTTTTTTTTTCTCTGTGAAAGTCATCCAACATCTGATACAAGCATTCCATGATAACTTTCAACATTTCCATGTAGAACCACCAAGTCTAATAACCTTTAAAAGCATCTTAGTCACGACTAGGTGCCACAGTTATACCCCAATGAAAGCAAGAAAACACAAATCTTCTTAAAACTATACATATGATGGATGCAGCATGCTGAGAAGAATGCAAAACTCACGTTATTACTGCTGGTAAGTTCAGACACATAGTCTCTATACCATCATGAACCTCTCTGTCCACCGTGGCTACCTGTTTCTCTTTATCAAGGACAACCTACTGGAAAGCAAAAGTTAGTCATAAAATAATTTGACATTTTAGCCTAAAATTATTATTCAAATCTGCACCACTAAACTGCAATTTTGCTTGGGTATATGCTCTAAGTCTGCGGCATGTGCCTACTTAATCAAAACAATTAAGGAGTTCTACCACATGAAAGATTGATTGCTCTAATTCAAACCTTATATGCAGATGATGGCAATGAAATGGAGTAATTAACCTTTGAAGCAAACCTAAAAATTCATCAGAAAGTTACGACCAGGTGAGACAAACCTGCTATTCGAAAGCAACACAATGAGGCTTCCAATGCTTCCAAAGAGGCTTCTTCGAGGGACAGAGGTTGCACGAAACAAACGTTATACCTGAAAATAAAATAATAAGGTTATAGATGATGGTTAGAGAAGGTTATTCAGGGGCAAGGGATTCAGGGGCAAGGGCTCATGGGTGCGCGAGGTAAGAAAATCAAAGAAAAAAGGTTTTAGATGATGCTTAGAGAGGGTTATACAGGAGCAACGGATTCAGGGGCAACGGCAGGGCAACGACGGGGCAAGGGCGGGGCAATGGTGGGGCGCGCGCAGGGGGAAAGCAAAGGGTTCTCAATATTCAGGAGCAAGAGATTCAAGGGAAAGGGCTTCACGGACTGCGCGCGCGGGGTAGCAAAGACTTCTCAATATTACATCGGTCACTAACTTAACTGATGTAGATCTCTTTATGTTTTAGGCTTATTTACAAAAATGTCACCGTGCTTTTAATACTACATCGGTTCTCCTTAAACCCGATGTAGAACATTTAATATTTACATCGGTCCCACTTAAACCTGATGTAAATATGCTTTATATTATACACTTAATTACAATAATGCCACTGTGTCTTATTTTTACATCATTTTTTTGTTAACCGATGTAGAAATGGTGATGTAGATCAATATTTTTGTAGTAGTGTTAGTCTGGTATGCCCCGCTGAGCTGCTCCACCATGAGCTGAGTCGCTGTTGCAACTTACTCTCTACGCTCCGAGGTCGTGAGCCAACCTTAGCCCTGCTAGGAGTGCTTCATACTCTGCTTGGTTGTTGGTGACTTTAAAGCCGAACTTGAGGGACTATTCTCTTGTAACGTTGTTTGGTCCTTCCAGAATGATACCTGCACCACCACCTTTGGAGTTGGAAGATCTGTCAACATGTAAGGTCCATACCTGTTGTTTCGCTGCCGAGGTTGGGGTGAGTTCAGCTATGAAGTTTGCTAGGCACTGAGCTTTTAGAGGTCCTCAGCTTTCGTATTTGATGCCGAACTCGGATAGCTCTACTGACCATGCTAACATATGCCCTGCGAGCTCTGGCTTCCTCAAGATCTGCTTAATTGGGTAGTCGGTTTTGACGACCACCTGGTGACTTTGGAAATAAGGTCAGAGACGTCGAGCTATCGTGACGAGTGCTAGTGCGAGCTTCTCGATTGTCTAGTATCATTTTTCTGTGTCCTGAAGGACTCGGCTGATGAAGTAGATCGGTGTTTGCACTTTCTGGTGCTCTTGCACGATGATTGCGCTGATCGCGCCTTCGGCAACGACCAGGTAGAGGAGGAGGTCGGCGTGGTGATCCTGCCTCTGAAGAACCAGTGGAGTCGTGAGGAAGACTTTGAAGCTCCTGAAAGCCTCCTCGCATTAGTCGGTCCACTCTAAGTTCTTCAGCTTTCGCAGCAGCGTGAAGATGGCCCTGCTCTCTCCGCCAACCTGGGGATGAAACGGGAAAGGGGAACCAACCTTTCTGTCAGGCGTTAGATGTCTTTCACAGTCTGAGGGCTCTGGATCTGGATAATGGCTTTCCATTTCTCCGAGTTGGCTTCAATGCCCCTGTTGGTGATCATGAAACCAAGAAATTTACCTCCCTGGATGCCGAAGACACACTTCTCCGGGTTGAGGCGCATGTTGTGCTTCCTGATCTGGCTAAACACCTTGGACAGGTCGGCAGCATGACCCTCGGCCGAAGTGGTTTTGACCACCATGTCATCGACATAGACTTCCATGTTTCGGCTGATCTGTTGGTGAAAAACCTTGTCCATCAGCCTTTGGTAAGTGGCTCCCGCATTTTTGATGCCAAATGGCATCACGCGATAGCAAAAGTTGGCATGGTCAGCGATGAACGAATTGTGCACCACGTTCGGTGGGTACATCATGATCTGGTTGTACCCAGAGTAAGCATCCAGAAAGCTGAGGAGGGTGTGCCCGGATGCTCCATCAACCAGCTTATCAATACTCGGTAAGGGGTATGAGTTTTTGGGGCATGCTTTGTTCAAATCGGTGTAGTCGACGCACACACGCCACTTTCTCGAGCTCTTTTTAACGAGTACCACATTTGCTAGCCACGTGGTATACTAGACTTCCCTGATGAATCCAACTCTCATCAGTTTTTGTGTCTTAGCTATGATAGCTTCCCGCCTTTCCCCGCCAACCTTCCGTTTTCGCTGGGCGACTGACTTTGCCTCTTTGTGAATTGCCAACCTGTGATAAATGAAGTTAACGTCTATGCCTGACATATCGGCGCTTGACCATCCAAAAAGGTCGGCGTTCTTGGAGATCTCGGCTTCAAGTTGCTCCCGTAGTTCCAGATTTAGCTGTCTGCTTATTTTTGTGCATTGTCCAGGGAGTTTGCCGACTTAAAGGTCATCCAGCTCGCCAATGGGGCTTGGCCGTTCATCATGGGATTTCAACCTCGGGTCCAAGTCGGTGATATCGACCTGGGAAATGTGAGCTACTGTAGGAGGGTCACTTTTGTGGCGCTCCTCGGATGGTGAGACTTTCAAGCTTTCGGCGTAGCACTGCCGGGCTGTCTTCTGGTTTGCTTTGACTGAAATAATCTTGCCACCACTCCTTGGGAATTTCATCGTAAGGTGCGAGATAGACACCACTGCTCCGAGTTGGTTCGATGATTATGTTGTAGGATGTGTTGGCTTCAACGAGGAGGTAGCGAACCATGATCCTCCTTGAATCAGGAGAGGTCCCGAAGGTCGTCAGCAGATCTACGTACCCTCGAGTGTGAACTTGTTCTCCTGCAAAACCGACTAGAGGTTCTGTGTGAGGTTGGATAAGGGAGTGAGGGATGTCTAACCTGAGGAACGTCAGCCAGTATAAGACGTTAGCCGAGCTTCCTTGGTCGATCAATGTCTTGTGGACCTCCCAATTGGCGACCTCCACGGTGATGACCATTGGATCATCCTAGTTTGGACAGACGCTAGTGTAGTCGTTGTCGGTGAAGTTGATTGGTGGTGTGGTCTGGTGCAGGGTCGAGGTGGCGGAGTGAACATTGTTGATGCTGCACAAGTGTCGTTTTCGAGCTGAGATGCTAGAGCCTCCCCCTGCGAAACCACCTGCAATTGTGTTGATGACTCCTCTCAAGGGAGCTGACCTTGTTTCCTGGCTTGCCTCGGCCTGCACCGCGCCACCAGCATTTTGTTGAGATCCAGAGGGTTGGTCTGTACGAGTGTTGGAACTGCGACCTCGCCCTTGTCCTCGTCCGTTGTAACCTCCTCGGTGACCTTGTTGTCGTTGGACGTATTGTCCGAGGTGTCCCCCCTGGACGAGTTCCTCTATGCGATCTCTGAGTGTGCGGCACTCCTCGATTATGTGACCATAGTTTTTATGGTACCGACAATGCTTTGATTTGTCTGCACTATTGGGACTATGCCCGGGTGGTGGTAGAGTGAGCAGATTGTTGTTACTGACTTCCTCTAGGATGTATACTCGGGGCGCATTCAAGAGGGTGTAGAAGTCGTACCTTCGCCCTTTGTTCGCCCGAGCTACTTTCTTGAACTGACTGTCATTGGTGACCTTCATCTTGTCCTTGTGACTGTGGTCCTACTTTGCCTGTGATTTTCTGCGAACCTGGCCCCGGAAAGTAGAGTGCTCCTCCATCTGAATGTATCCTACAGTGTGGGCACGCAGTTCGTCCATGTCAAGGGGAGATCGCCGACACAGGCTGTCCATGAAAGGTCCAAGCTTGAGCGCCATGAGCATGGTGTGCAAGGCAACCTCAGGTTCACGTTTTGAATCTTGACTGAGATACTGGCAAAGCGTTCCATAAACGCCTTCAGTGATTCGTCGTCGCCTTGTCTGAGACTGGCCAAGGTGGTTGATGTGACATGATGAGGTCGACTCGTGGCATACTGCGCTGTGAATCGCCTGACCAGAGTGTCAAAGTTATCGATCGACTCCATTGGCAGTTGAGTGTACCAGTTGAGTGCTGCTCCCTTGAGCGAGGTCGGAAAAACCCTACACAGGATAGCATCCTCATTAGTGTATAGGTTTACCTATGTGAAGTATAGATCGACGTGTTCGTCCAGGTCAGTAGTGCCATCGTAGCGGTCGATGTGGAGGAGCTTCCAGCCAAAAGGTAGGGGTTTCTCCATGATGCCGTCCACAAAAGGATGGCGGCGAATGCTCGCCCGGTTTCCAGGGTCCCGGGCAAGAGCATTGCTGACTTCATGGGCCGACCTGTTCATTGGTGCGTGTGATCGATGTGTGGCAGGCCTGTGGGTCGGTGCCCTAGGTGCAGTTAGAGGTTGAGAGACCGAGTGCCCCTTCTCTTCGTGTTGATTACTCTGTTAAGGGGGTTGATCAGAAGGGCGCTGAGGAAGGTGGGCTCGAATACGCTCATTCTCGGCGCGTAGCACCGCTAGGTCGGTCTCTTTTACAGTACGCAGCGCCGCTAGGTCAGTTTCATGCTTGGCACGAATGTTTTACAGATCGGCGGCGTGTTACTGCCGTATTTGTTTGACCTATTCGATCAATCTTCTTAGTGCTGCTTCGCTGTCCATTCTTGTTGTGCGATCTGTGTCGTCTGTTGCTCGAATGTTATGGCTTCAGGTAAAAACCATAAGAGGGGTCGATAAGAGCTGTCTTGATTGGCCCCACGTTGGGCGCCAGATGTTCTTACCGGAGATCGGTCGTAGGGACGATCTGCTAGGCAAGATTGGTGAGCCTCCTTCGCTGGGTACGATTGCTGTTCCAAGTGGGGGTGGTACCTGCAAAAGAGACTTCGATGCTAAAGTTAGTGTTTGTGGATGTATATGTCTCATATAAGTAATGCACGTACCTTTGTGTGAATTAGGGTTTTGTTGGGCCTTGGGCCTGAGATCAGTGATGACCTATTTAGGCAACCGACCTCGTCTAGGCCGAGGTCGCCTAGTGCGTGTCCGCGGTCAATTTGTGCTGTGATACCGAGCTGAAGCTCGGCTTCGTGGTACGGATAGTACACATAACCTTCTTTTTCTTTTTAATTTTTTATGCAAACGTAGCTTTCATATTTTATTATGGCTACCAGTCAATAATTTTTTAAATTGTATTATTCACATAACTAAAAAATAATTTAAATATAGATAATGTTAATCTAGTATCACTAGCTGAACATCTCTTTGTAGTGCTTCCGGACCTATGTGCTACATGGATTGGAAAGAAGTCCAGCTACCTTGTAGTTTCTTTCCATGAAACCGTGAATGATGAATACATATTAGCATGTCATGATAAAAAGTATGCAATGTGCATAAAGGAACATGATTTATCCACTACTACAAAAATACTATTTAACATCGCTATATTTACATCGGTTCTAGTAGAACCGATGTAAATCATAAACGCGGTGGCAAACTTGTAAATAAGTAGAAAATATGAGAAATTCTACATCGGGTTTATGATTAACCGATGTAGAAATGAAATCTGGGAATTGTTCTACATCGGTTTTACTTATAACCGATGTAGAAATGAGACCTAATATTCGCAGGACTACCCTTTCACTCATACGTAAACCTAGCCGCCGTGAGCAATGGGAACCTCTCTTCTTCGTTCCACGATTTGTCTAATCTCCACCACCTCGTTCTCCTTCCTCCCTAAGTTTCGAAGACGCTATATTGTTAAAAGTTCAAATTGTTCTATTACGAGGACGCTTTTTCTCCGTCGCGCTCTGGCAGCTATTCTGGTTTGAGGACGCCATCACCGCCTCTGCCGCTAAGCAGCTCGGCTTGGGATTTCCTGAACTTCTTTGAGCCGTACGAGAGATACCATGTGTCGTACATGGCTACCGACGACGTTGATGTGGCGAAGAAAGGTTTTTGGACATCACTTAGTTTCGCTCTGAAACGACGACGTTCAGGTATCTATGCGACAGCGATCGAGTGTTTATACTTGGAAGAAGCACCACCGATTGTATTGCATTGTCTTTTGAAGCCATAAATCTATTAGATAAAAACTTCTACTATGGAAACATTGCATTAAAAATTGACATTAGCAAAGCTCTTGATACACAACTTTCTCCTCAACGTATTAAGAGCATTCGACTTTTGTGATAGCTTTTGCCACTGGATTGAATCTCTCCTAAAGTCGGCCAAACTCTCCATTCTCTTAAATGGCTGTCCTATTGGGTTCTTCCCATGTAAAAGAAGGGTTCGACAAGGGGACCCCATATCGCCATTACTTTTCTGCATTGCGGAGGACGCCCTCAGTAGAGCAATAACCTCTTTAGTGGAATCTGGCAAGTTACAGAGATTTGAAGGGGCCAATCAATATCCTTTTCCTTCACATGCCCTATATGCTGATGATATCATGATCTTCTGCAAAAGCTCTCAAAAATCTCTCCCAAATCATGGATTTGCTCAGAGCATATGGAAATGTAACTGGCCAACAAATAAATTTGCAAAAATCCAAATTCTATGTCAAAAGCACCATGCCCCTAAATAGGGTTGAACGAATAAAAATATGCCTTGGCTTCTCAAGAGGTACGACTACGGTTCGTTATCTGGGTGTGCCAATCTTTAAAGGCAAACCAAAAGCATCTTGTCTAATGCCTATTGCTGATAGGATTAAGAATAAGCTTGCAACATGGAAAGGAACTCTGTTATATTACATGGGGCATGTTCTACTTGTTAAAACTGTCCTCCATAATATGTTAATTCATAGCTTCCAAGTATATAAATGGACGATATGCTACTGAAACAAATTGAATCTTGGTTCAGGAACTTCATCTGGACTGGTACCATCTTAGAATCCAACCCCAATACTGTCCCTTGGCATATGGTATGCACCATGGTTTTAAATTGCGGTTGCGGTCACGGTTGCGGTCGCGGTTGCAGTTACTGCGGTTGCGGGTATTGCGAGTATTGCGATGCGGATTGTGGCTATTGCGGTGTGAAATTATTAATTATTTGCACTAAATATAAAAAAATTGTAATTATTGATATATGTTTTATTTTTAAAAATTTATACATTTTTATTCCTTTTTTAAAACATTCTATTATTTTAATGAATAATTTAATTTATTTTAAAATTAATTTAAAAGTAAGAGAAACACAATAGTGGTTAGATTAATTCCTACATAATATTTGTCATAATATCTCAAAAGCAAATTGTCTCATTGACACAAATAAAAAACTTAAAGGTACACACATTTAGACAAATTTTAAATAGACAAGAAAGAAAAAAGGACATGGCTTGACATAAAGTAATATGATTGCCCACAAGTTTCATTGTCATCAATTATCTGAGAAGCAATGCCACCCTTCAGAGATGCATTTCACTACAAGGAAAAAATATGAAATTTTTATTAATATTGTAAAACTATAAAAAGCATGAACTTTTTTTCACAAGTGAAAAATTATAAATATAATAAATTTATAACTCACATGATACTTATTACCACATAGTAGAGTGACGAGGATGATCATAGCCTCCACTCTCGCTTTGGCTATCCCCTTGTGTGGCTCCTTGTCAAAAACATAATCAAAAAATCCACCACTTTATTGTTGATAATAAAGATCATTATAATTCATTGATGGTTGGTGGTATGAGGGAACTTGGTCACTTCCATATTGATTGTATGCATTAAAATAAGAATGTTGATAAACTAATGGTGTATAGTACCCTTGACTACTTTTAGATAAGGACAACACTCCGCAGCTACGCGACTGGAAAGGACAAAAAGGTTCCTACGTCTCTGCTAAATTCAGACACAGCTGCTAACAAGGCAAAGAAGACTACACACAATGTCCATAAACAAGAAGAAACAACGTTGAAGCATGCAAAAAAAGGATGATGAGAAGATTTAACTCGGGAGTGAGACCGCGAGAATTTCACAAAGGCGATTTAGTTTGGAGAAGCACAAGGGAAGCAAGGAAGAATCCAAGGGAAGGAAAGCTCTCAGCCAATTGGGATGGACCATACAGAATTAATCAAAACATGCAAAATGGAGCATACAAGCTAGAAGAATTGGAACGAAAAGCTAATCCTAAGAACATGGAATACAACACATTTGAAAATGTATTACGGTTGAAAAACATTGTATTTCGGTCTACTATTTTCCTTGCTTAGCTTTTTATCCCTAAAAGATCGTGAAAGGGTTTTTGCTAAGCAAGGTTTATAACGAGACATCCTGGTGAATAATAATACAAGAATTTTTTTTCGGTTTAACAAGCACCTAAACTCAAGACCTCGGCCGAGAACCTACTCAGTCAAGCTTGAAAAACAACTCAAGACCTCGGCCGAGAGCCTACTCGGTCGAGAGTGAAAAAAATTCATGACCTCGGCTGAGAACCTACTTGGTCGAGTGTGAAAAGAAACTTAAGACCTCGGCCTAGGACACACTCGGTCGAGCTTGAAAAACAACTCAAGACCTCGGCCAAAAACTTACTCGGTCAAGCTTGAAAAACAACTCAAGACCTCGGCTAAGAACCTACTCTGTCGAGCGTGGAAAACAACTCAAGACCTCGGCCGAGAGCCTACTCAGTTGAGCGTGAAATGTTAAGCCAGACAAAAAAACTCCCAACAAGGTTTTGAGTGAGACAAATATAATACATGTTGTTATCTCTAACAAGTGTGTTAGTGTTTTAGATAAACATAAGTACAGGAAAAATGAAGAATAAGACAAAAGCGCGTCAAGCACAATCTAAGGCGAAACATAAAGACTCAGACGAAAGATGGTTAACGACCTTAAAGAAACTCCAGATGAAATTGAAAGTCTGACCATATACAATATTGACCAGATGAAAGGAAAAGTCAATATGTTAATGATAAATACTCAGAAAAAGGTCGAAGGTTGAACTACATATAGACTACCAGACGTAGACGGAAATTGTCACACATTCACCTGAAGAATCAAGCTTCAAAAGACAATTCGAATATCGTTCACGCTCACAGGAGAACACACGAAGTCATGGAAACTGTGAGAAGAAAAGAAGGAAGGAGAAAATCAAGCACAAAACCAAAAGCATGCATGTGTCAGAAAAAGTACATTACTTTTTCAGATAAGGACAACACTCCGCAGCTACGCGACTGGAAAGGACAAAAAGGTTCCTACGTCTCTGCTAAATTCAGACACAGCTGCTAACAAGGCAAAGAAGACTACACACAATGTCCATAAACAAGAAGCAACATTTAATGCAAGATCTTGAGCATTAAATGAAAAGATCAAACTAGTCATGAACGAATATATCAACTTCAACAGACATATGAAACAGACATATGCAACAGGTAGATTCTACAAGGTTATAAATATGCCATAACCTCAAACTGAAAAAGGCTGGCAAGAGGCAACGAAAGAATGACTATATGCATTGCCCAGGGCTTTTAACATTAAGAACCAAAAAGTGACATCAAGCTCAAAAGAAAACAGAGAAATCAGAGATTGATTCTTCATAGTCAAATTTACAATGTATCATTGTATGAACTAGTTTCAATGGTATTTCCCAATACTCAATGGAACCTTAAATCATGCAAAGGGTGATCAATCCAAAGCAAGCATTAAGCATAGAAACGTACACAACAAAGAATGAAACAACATGTATATATATCATTAAAATGTAAGGATTACATTAGACTTCTTTGGTTACATCTAACCCCACAAAAATGGGTAGAACCACTCAACAATGAGGGTATCGGTCGAGCTTGAAAAACAACTCAAGACCTCGGCCAAAAACTTACTCGGTCAAGCTTGAAAAACAACTCAAGACCTCGGCTAAGAACCTACTCTGTCGAGCGTGGAAAACAACTCAAGACCTCGGCCGAGAGCCTACTCAGTTGAGCGTGAAATGTTAAGCCAGACAAAAAAACTCCCAACAAGGTTTTGAGTGAGACAAATATAATACATGTTGTTATCTCTAACAAGTGTGTTAGTGTTTTAGATAAACATAAGTACAGGAAAAATGAAGAATAAGACAAAAGCGCGTCAAGCACAATCTAAGGCGAAACATAAAGACTCAGACGAAAGATGGTTAACGACCTTAAAGAAACTCCAGATGAAATTGAAAGTCTGACCATATACAATATTGACCAGATGAAAGGAAAAGTCAATATGTTAATGATAAATACTCAGAAAAAGGTCGAAGGTTGAACTACATATAGACTACCAGACGTAGACGGAAATTGTCACACATTCACCTGAAGAATCAAGCTTCAAAAGACAATTCGAATATCGTTCACGCTCACAGGAGAACACACGAAGTCATGGAAACTGTGAGAAGAAAAGAAGGAAGGAGAAAATCAAGCACAAAACCAAAAGCATGCATGTGTCAGAAAAAGTACATTACTTTTTCAGATAAGGACAACACTCCGCAGCTACGCGACTGGAAAGGACAAAAAGGTTCCTACGTCTCTGCTAAATTCAGACACAGCTGCTAACAAGGCAAAGAAGACTACACACAATGTCCATAAACAAGAAGCAACATTTAATGCAAGATCTTGAGCATTAAATGAAAAGATCAAACTAGTCATGAACGAATATATCAACTTCAACAGACATATGAAACAGACATATGCAACAGATCGGAAATTAAAGGCCACAAACACAAGCCCAAAGCTAGCCCACGTCTATTCTAATTTGATGACTAAAGGTCATTTAAAATTTTAATCAAAGGCCACAAATAGAAGCCCAAAGCTAGCCCACGTCCATTCTAATTTTTTTATGCTCCTTTAATTCCTAAACACTAAAACGTTGATAGAGTCCATGTCCAACATTCAATTTGGTCCCCATCACATGTCCAACTCACTAAATAAAAAATGATATTAAAAGAAATTTAGGTTTTCTTTCCTAATGTTGCTCATTGCTGGAATGCGCCGCCGCCGCTGTTAATCCCCAAACCCAAACCCCACAATCCATATTCACCGCAGCATTTCAAGCAAAAATCAAGCATTTCAAGAAAAAATCAAGTGAAATGAAGCCAAAATCAAGCAACAATCAAGCAAAAATCAAGCCAACAACAATGGCAAGGATATCAACGAACAACAACAAAGAGAAACAGGGGTGCGTAAGAGGCAGAAAACTTACCATTAACAACCAAGCTTCCTCTTCTTGGTAGAGATACAAATGGAGTTCCGAATGAAAGTGTAAGTTCTATGAATCTATGCTTTGTTTTTCACCTTTTAAGTTAAAGTTTGAACGATCTCGTGAATAATTTATCTGTATCTCTGTTGCGTTCTCTGAAAAGATTCCCAAAAAAAGTTAACTTTTTTAAAAACGATTCTGTTATACATTGTCGTTTGCGGATTCAAAATGGAGGTGTTGTGGACGCAACACCGTTACGTTACGGAAAAAGCCGTGATTTACGGTCTCACCGCAATTGCGGTCCGATGCCGTTGCGGACAAGGCCGCAACCGCAATATTACGGCCGCAATGCGGGATGCGGTCCGCAATTTAAAACCCTAGTATGCACAGACTTGGTGGAAGGTGGGCTCGACCTCAAATCACTACTGGAAATCAATAATGCTTATATGCTAAAACTCTGCTAGAATTTCTTGAAAAGGGAGTCAGATTGGGCTGAAGCTTTAGGCCCTAGAGTTACCAAAAAGGATGGCATTGTAGCTCGCTACTTATCATCCACAATTTGGGCAAGTATTTGTGATTCATACCCTATGGTTAAAAACCATTCAAAATGGATCATTGGTCAGGGCTCCAAAGTTAATTTCTGGACCGACAGATGGCTTTCTAGGCCTATAGTGGATATAATGAATATCCATGCCTCTGTCCATCCTAGGTTCAAATGCTCGGTAAAACACTTCCTCAAAGATGGATCTTGGCACCTCCCCTATGAAATTCATGCTAGGGTAGGCAATCAGATTGCCAATATAGACATCCCTCTTAATGAACTTGAGGATAGACTAGTTTGGGAATCTACCCCCAATGGGGACCTGTTGTTTAAAGATGCATATCTTTTCTTGAAGCAACCGAAACCCAAACTCAATTAGGCCAAAATAATATGGAATAAGCACATACCCCCTTCAAAAACTTTTGTCTTCTAGAGACTCCTTCATGGGAAAATTCCCACTGAGGATCTGTTAAGAAGAAAGGGGGTAATCATCACATCGGTCTGTTCTCACTGCTATAAAGACCTGGAAACATCTAAGCACTTGTTCTTTGAGTGTCATTTTGCCTTACAACTATGGGACAGGCTCTCCAGATTGATGGAGGTCACCCTAAATACCTCAAATATATTGGAAATATTACAAAAACCATGGAGCAAATTTGCTAAACTAATCATATTATCTGCTATTACTTTTACCATAGATGAAATATGGAATAATAGAAACATGATAAAATTTCATAATTACTCTAATAGGTTAGAACATCTAAAGAATAAAATAATAACACTTGTCAACTCTTGTAGCTCTGTTGCCCAACTACCTATGAATAACAATATAAAGGAACTCAAACTATTAAAAAGTTTTTTGTTGCCTTGCAGGGTCAGGAAATTGGAGCAGCCAGTAGAGATACAATGGACGCCTCCTTCGGCAGGATGGATCAAATGCAACACGGATGGAGCCTTCTCTACCTTTACTTCCTCAGCATCATGCAAGATCATCTTTCTAGATAGTAGCGCTAACCTAGTTGGATGCCTTGCCGAGTCAGTGGGAGCCAAATCAGCATTGGAGGCAGAGGTCTTGGCCATCATTCATGTAGTTCAGATTGCTAGGAGTCGGGGATGGATGTCACTCTGGATAGAGATAGATTCAATGCTTTCCATTCACGCCTTCTCTTATCCTTCACTTGTCCCTTATAGCTTATCTATTCAGTGGCTGAACATGTTATTTCATGCGAGGTAGATGAGACTTCGTTTCTCTCATATCTTTAGAGAGGCAAACGGATGTGCAGATAGTCTAGTAGGCTTTGGCCTTAGGCATAGAGGTTACCATTGGTGGAGTGTTGTTCCATTGTGTATCATGACTGCTTATTCAAGGGATAGGGGAGGTCCACCTCACTTTAGAGTTCCTTAGGATAAGTTGTAAAACACATTTGTACTTGTACTTTTTCTTTCTTTTACCAGTTTAGTATATTTTTCGATATGCTGCAGATGATTGGTGTGGGTTGAGGTGCTAACCTAGTTAGGATCTTTCTTCCACATAGTGATGCCTTATCATATCTATGTTTTATCAAAAAATACAACAACACATTCTTTTGTTTTGTTTTTCACCTCTTCACTTATGAAATCTTATACTTCTCACTTTTTTCTTTTCCTTTTTCTCTCGTCATTGTAAAATTATTGTAACACTATACATTCAAATATAATTATTATATTTTTTGATATCAAAACTATATTGAAAATATATTTTTATCTGGGAATTTTAGTATGCTAAAACTATATTGAACTATCAAGGTAGATAGAATAAGATCACCTAATTCCTATTTTATCTAATAATAACATTCACAATTAATTCAATCCTACTTAAAATAAATTAAATTCCTCACCTCGTGCTTATATATGAATAGATTAATAACCAGTGACACATCTAAAATATATTTAAATAATAAATATATCTATACCAGATAAGGGCATGAGTACCAGGTCAAAAAGAAGAAAAGGATCGAGGATTCCTCGATATGATTACACCAAGGAGTCCTCGGCTCATTACAATAACCTACTTAACCTACTTATTACGGATAAACATTAATGGATCCTCTTATGGGCCTACATATGGGCCTGTGCCCATTAAAGTTGGTATAAATAAGTGTGATTAGTGACAAAAAAAGGGTACATTTTCATAATTACTGATTTGAGTTAGCATTGAGATCTCTTACACCGAGGACTGACTTAAGCATTGGAGTGTCTTTTGTAGGTACCTAACTCTCTCCTTAGGATACCTCATGGAAGACGAAGACCCAGTAGGAGTAGCAAAATTACAAAAGTACCTTGTGTAGGTATATTTTGGCGCCTACCGTGGGGCCAATTTTGAAGGCCCACATTGTTTATTTGTTTTGCAGGAAGAAGATTTCGTAGAAGATGGTCGCTACCAGGAAGAACAACCACTCAGTTCAACCTGAACAGGAATCGAGGCCAGTTGTTGTGGAAGATCAAAATAATCTCTCAAATGCTGTGAATATGCTTCGTGAAGAAATAGCAGCCGTCAAGCAAGCCCAAGAGAGAGACGCTCAGGAGCCTGAAGCACTTAGGAGAGAAAATGCCGAGTTTAGAAGCTTGAACAGAACTTGGAACCCTACCGAACAACCCAATAATGAGGCCTCCTCATATCACATACCGACAACTCCACAAACACACGATCCTCCCATGCAGTTGTCAACCATTCCTAGGCAACCTCCCCCTCGGATAGTGGCAACACCCGGCTCATACAAACACCCTTTCACTCAAAACATTATGGAGACAACCATATATGATAGCTGGAGAAATCTTCCTCTAGAGAAGTACGATGGATCCTTGGACCCCGATGACCATTTGCATGCATACCTCACACAAGTTACCTTGCTGACAATAGCAGAAGCTGCTTTGTGTCGCCTCTTCCCCACTTCACTAAAAGGACGAGCATTAAGTTGGTTCATTAAGCTTTCCCCCAGCTCCATAAATTCGTTTGAAGAACTGGCATCTTTATTTACGGTGCAATTTGCTACAAGCAAACCTTACCAACTGACATCATTGGTGTTAGCCAACATCAGACAGGAATATAAAGAATCCTTAAGGTCATTTATGGATCATTTTCACAAAATCGCAATGGAGATAACAAACCTGAACCCGGTTGTCGCGATGGATAGGTTGAACACAGCATTGAAACCCGGACCGTTTGTAGACAGTTTATGTAAAAAACCTCCATTGGATATGAATGACTTGAGGAGAAGGACTGAAAAATACATGCAAATGGAGGAATTAACTGAATCAAGAAATCAAGCTAGAGTCGAGGCCATGCCAAGCAGAAGAGAAAATGAAAGTGAAAATTACCAAAAGACTAAAAGGGAAGATACTGAAAGAAACTATCAAGTAAAAAGACCTCGTTACACTGACTACACCCCACTAAATACAAGCAGAGCAAGGATATTAGAACAAGCCCTAGCATAAAAAAATTTAAGCATCCCAAGAAGAGCCCATACACCCCCGAAGTCAGACCTATCAAAATCGTGTTCGTATCACTAGAACCATGGTCATTCAATAGAGGAATGTGCCTCTTTAAAAGATAAAGTGGAGGAGTTCATAAAACAAGGATAGCTGAAAAAATATGTCGAGAATCAAAACACTAACCGAAGGTACGATAATGAGAAAAATAGTTATACGCAAAAAGGAAGGGAGACAACAAAAGAAAAACGTACAAGCAGAAGGGAAAGGAGTCGGTCAAGAGAAAGGAAAAGAGAAACAAGCTTTAGAAATCAAGAAAAGAGAGTCATCAACACCATCTCGGGAGGATTTGCAGGGGGAGGAGCAACCTCCTCTGCTCGAAAAAGACAGTTGAGAGCGCTTAAAATAGTAAATTTTGTAGAAAAAAGGAAAAGGAAAATGCCCACTATAACTTTTACAGATGAAGATTTTAAAGGAGTAGACCCTGATCAAGACGATCCTATGGTTATTAGTGTGCAAATCAACAATTGTATCATCAAGAAAATCCTAGTGGATCAAGAAAGCTCAGCTGACATATTATATTGGAAAACATTCAAGAAAATGGGGATCTCGGAAGAAGAATTGAAACATTATGATGAACCGCTGGTGGGTTTTTCCCGAGAACAAGTGACAACAAAAGGGTGTATCGACCTTTACACTTGTTTCAGTTTCAATCAGATATTTCAAAAACTATAAAGATAAGATATTGTGGTGAATGCAAATACTTCTTATAATATTTTGCTAAGAAGACCGTCGATCAGCGCATTGGGAGCCATCGTCTCAACCCCACATCTAGCCATGAAATTTCTTAGAGAATCGCAAAAGATAGTTATAATTCATGTCGATCAGAAAATCGTGAGAGAATGTTATATGGCCAATTTGAAAATACGACCGATGGTGGAAGAAGAAGACAAGAATGTACATATGGTATCACCAGAAATCAAAAAAGTATTAGACACCGCAGACTTGGATCCATGGTTGGGAAATGAAGACCTTAGGGTGGAACCAAATGAAGAAACTTTACCTTTTCGGTTGGGAGATAAATAAGGGCAGAATACATATATCGGATTAAACTGGAGAATAAGGATAAAGAAATGATACAAGAGGCAGTAAGAAAGAATAAAGAATTATTTGCATGGATGGTAGAAGATATGCTCGGCATTGATCCCATATTCCATTGTCATTGGTTAGCAATATGCAAAGAAGCAAGACCGGTAGCTTAGCGTAAAAGAAAAATAGGAGAAGAAAGAAGAAGAGCAGTAGAGATAGAAGTACAGAAATTGGCAAATGCACGATTCATACGAGAGGTACAGTACACAACTTGGCTAGCAAATATGGTAATGGTGAAAAAAGCCAGCGGGAAATGGAGAATGTGTGTAGATTACACCGACTTGAACAAAGCATGTCCTAAGGATGCTTACCCTCTCCCCAATATTGACCGACTTGTCGACGGCGCTGCAGGCCCTCAAATCTTCAGTTTTCTAGACACATATTCGGGTTATAACCAAATTAGAATGTACCCAGGAGATGAATCAAAAGCAACATTTATAATAGAATCAGCAAACTATTGTTACAAGGTAATGTCTTTCAGCTTAAAGAACGCGGGGGCAACTTATCAGAGGATGATGAATAAAATATTCCACAAATAGATCGGCAAAAATGTTGAGGTCTATGTAGATGATATGGTGGTGAAATCAAACAGTGTAGAGGAACATATCAAAGACTTAAAAGAAGTATTCAATGAAATTAGAAAATACAAGATCAGACTCAACCCCGAGAAATGCGCTTTTGGTGTTTAAGGAGGAAAATTCCTTGGGTTTATGTTATCGGCCAGAGGTATACAGGCAAACACAGACAAGTGCCAGATGATACTAGATATGAGGAACCCAAAGAATATAAAGGAGGTGCAACAATTGATCGGGAGACTCACATCTTTGTCTTGATTTATTCCCAGATTATTGGAAAGAACCAAACCAATATTGAAATTGCTCAAAGAAATCAAGGAATTCTAGTGGACCGAAGAGTGTGAAGAAGCATTTCAAACCCTAAAGGAAAACTTAGCCTCCCCTCCAATATTAACAAAACCAGATATGAGCAAAGACCTCATTGTGTACTTATCGGTCTCCGATGAAGCCGTAAGTGCAACTCTAGTTCAAGAAGAAGAGGGTAAACAACAACCAATATACTTTGTGAGTCAAACCTTACACGATGCCAAAACCCGTTATCAATTGGTTGAAAAGACGGCGTTAAGCTTGGTTTATGCAAGAAGGAGACTACATCAATATTTTCAAAGTCATAATATTGTTGTCAGGAAATATTGCCCTATTGTTAAAATCCTAAAAAAGCCCAAGTTAGCAAGAAGAATGATGGCATAGGCAATAGAACTTTCAGAATTTACCATTCATTACAAACTGCGAGGTCCAATTAAGGCACAAGTGTTAGCTGATTTCGTAAATGAATTACATCCAAAAGAGATAGTTGAATTGGTGTGGTGGAGCCTTCATACAGATGGATCCTCGAATAATCAAGGAAGTGGGGTTGGTATCATATTAGAAGGATCGAACAAATGTTCAATCGAGCAGTCCCTTCGGTTCAATTTCAAAACATCCAATAATCAAACCGAGTACGAAGCTTTGATAGCTGGTCTTCAGTTGGCCAAAGAAATCAATGTACAGAAGATAAATGTCACACTGACTCAAAAGTAGTAGCAGAACAAATTAATGGAACATTCCAAATAAAAAAACCACACCTATTGGGCTACTTTCATCTTTTTCAGAGAATGAAAGGTGACTTTGAAGAAGTACAAATCCTGCACATACCTCGGAATGGCAACGAGAGAGCAGACAGGTTAGCTAGATTGGCCAGCAGTCAAAAACTCGGGCATTTGAACACTTTGATTCAACAAGAATTACAAAT